ACCCTAAACTTAACAATTACCAGTACATACCTAACCCTAAACTTAACCATTACCAGTACACACTTAATTCTAAACTTAACTCGGGGGGAGTGGTGGCGCAGAGGTTAGAGAAGGTGGGTCTGTGATCGGAAGATCACCGGTTCAAGCCCCGGTACCGACAACATCAAAAATGTGGGTAGGGGCAGGTGAAGCACCCACACCTGCCCCTACCCTCATTCGCCCCACTCTTGGCCCATGAGCAAGGCCCTTAACCCCCATCTGCTCCCTAAACAGGTCTCTTTTGAAAATGAGTTCTCGGGGCTCAATGAGACTACCTGGATAAATAAAGGGTACATGAAAATAAAGAAAAAATAACTCGTCCTCCATTCACAACTTAGTCCTAAACCTAACCCCTAACCCACCGATGGCACTTTTTCTTATGGGGTCTGGGCTTTGGGCCCCGTAAGGAGCAATCTGTCCTCACAATGTAGTGTGTGTTGGAAAAATGAGCCTTACAAGGTAACAAAGACACACACACACACACATCTCTCCACAAAGTCTACCACAACCCTTAGAGAGCACTATTTATACCAGCCTCTCATCCATTTTCCAACTCTCCCATGGCCCTGGTGCTTTACCCAGAGTTTGGGGAAATGAGGACAGCCGGGAGAGAGGATACCAGAGGCTGTTACTGAATGTCCTTGATGATGTGCGTTTACTTGACAGACATGCAGTAGGCAGAGAGGCGAAGGAAATAGGAGTCAGTGAAAGGAGAGCAATCACAGTGAGTTGTCTCAGATGGTACCTTTCCAATCTCATCCTTCAGTTTGTACTGGTTGAGCTGAACGCAGTCCTTGAGGGGAAAGAGAGGAAAAAAGGATAGAAAAGAGGAGAAATGTGTTACTCTTCAAAAGGGATCACATCAGTGGTTATGTACTTTAGATACAGTGCATTTTGGGTATTTAAAGTCTGTTGTTTCTCACAATAAAAAAAGAGGAAGAAATTAATTTTTGCTCAGTTATACTTTGTTTACATTAGCTCCATTTTAAACTGGGTTCATAAAAGTGTCTGATATCTGCTAAATAAAAGCAAAAAATATTTTCTCAGTAGTATGTGCACTTCAGTTTTAACAGTTTAGTAGCATTTTTTACACTTAAAAATGAAACAAAGAAGGTGAATTCAAACATTTTTAGTTTCCAATAAATGTATTTGTTAGTGTGGATCAAAACACCCACAAACACCAAAGCTTAATCCCCAGAAATATTTAAACTTCCTAAATGAAAAAATCAAAGTGGATGTGATACGGGTGGTTAAACGGGATTACTCTTTGGTCATAATAAGTAAACTCATCTTACAAATATGCTCTGAATTGTGAAAGAGCTGTCATCCCACAGATGTATGATGAGAGCAGGTTGAGAGTAGGAAAGGCTCCGGGTCCACTGACGCTGTTTTACAGCAAAACGCAGTGGAGATTTAAAACAGACAACACAGCTACGTGGATACCCCAGAACCTAATCTGGTTGGGAAATAGGCATTTTTTTAATCATTCCCAACAACCAAGGATTGATGATGTATTCTAAGGCCGTGGTTCCCAACACTGGTCCTTGAGGAACACCATCCTGCATGCTCCAACACACCTAATTCAGTGGTTAAATTACTTCCTTCAGTTCTGCAGAAGCATGTTAATCCCACTTTCATTCCAGTCAGGTGTGTTTGAGCAGAGGAACAACTAAAACACGCAGAATGGTGTTCCTCAGGGACCAGGGTTGGGAACCACTGATTTAAGGTATCTTTAAAGTTTTTCTTTGAGGCATAGCAATCAGAGCAATCCCTGTTTTCCGAATGACTGGAAGCAGAATGTGATAAAAAAAAGAATCCAAAGTTAATAATTTGGGATTATTTTGATATTTAAATAAATAGTGGCTCCAAAGTTTTACAACAAATGTACTGAATCTGTGAAATTCGAAGCTACAGGCAGCTTTAACGCACTGAGAACAGACACATGGTCACTTTCTGAACCGATGCCCTAATTGTTGTCGCACACAATATTTTTGAAAGTTAGAACCTGCTGGGAAAATGTCTTGTCCCTGTTGAACACCAAGTTTTTTTTAATCATATCTTCTCATTTTCATTATATTAAAATATATAACAAAACTATTGCTAATTTAAACAAGATTAACTGTAAATGGATACGTTGGACTTCACATGATCAGGGTGCTTTACATGTCCAAGTCTGGATTTGAATTCTACATGTATTTACAAGTCAAAACTCTTAAAACAGAAAATTAAATAAGCTTAATTAAAGTGGAAAATATGGTCTCTTAAAAAAATAAAAATACAGCTACTGCCTACGAACTCCAATCACCCTTGATTGATGTTTTTGACAAATTGCTCAACCCTATAATTGAAAAAAATATATATTTCTAGACTATTCATTACATAACACTAAACCTACAGTAATGTTAATCCCTGTAAAAGAAATAAAACTAAATAATCACCTACAAAATACAACACTGTGAAACAAAACCTGATCCCGGCATCAAAGAACTGCAGATTCAGATGCTTAGAGAAATACTACCTACATCTACATCTAACACAGCTACGACAAACATCCAGTAAGACTTATAAAACCTTACCTGTGCATCCACAAAACTTGGTCTTTACCAGTGTGCTGCTGCTTTTAAAACAAATGCACACAAGGTTGTGCTTATCTGAGCTCAGGTTTGATAAGATTACACACTAACAGCTGTAAACGAGAAGCACTTCAGAGCCTGAAGTTTGTCCATCCTCGTAAAGTTTTATGCAGTACGCCTCAAAAGAACAGAGCGGGTCAGATGGTTCAGAGATCCAAAATTGTATAATAAGGATTACTACTGCACAGCTTGTGGCCTCTAAATAGATTTTTTTTTTCATTTTATCTAATCAGTGTAAAACTAGTTATCAAAACTCTAAGAAGTGTAAAGATTACATTTAAGTAAATAGAGCACAGAGGTAATTTTAAACCTTGAGAGTGACATCACTTTAAGCTAAATGCTTTGTTATACCTGCAGATCGGTAATGGAGACACTGTGCGACTCCACGGTGGGCCGACGAGGCAGACGTGGAGAAGAGTGGGGCGATGTGATGGGAGAGTAAGGTAATGACGGGTAAATATAGCGCCCGTTATGTCCAGGGGAGCTGCTGGGTGATGGTGCAGTCTGTGAGCGCTCCTGCAGAGAGAGTTTCCGGTCGGACAGGCTCAATCTGCCCCTCTGCTCCTGGCTTTCAGGCAGCAGAGCCTCTGGCCGACCAACTGTGTGGGACAGCAGGTCACAGGATGGAGGCCGGAAAGACACCGCAGTGGAGGAGGCTGGCTCGGGCATCTCAGAGCTATCCATTTCTTCCACCTAATGTGACACATTATTTTATAAATTTAAATGTCTGTATTTGCATGGGTTATTCAAATTTTCTCATCATATTCTGTATGTGATCTATAACTACTGTATTCTTCACCCTATAAGTCGCTGTTTTTTGCATAATTTGCACGCCCTGCGACTTATCACCGAAGTGACGTATTTATGGATTTTTTTCCATATTTATAAACCAATTTTTGGCTGAGATATGACCATTTTCATTCATGCTGACTGAAAGTATTTAACACTACCATTTTCAGCCATTAGATGGCACTCGAGTAGTATAGCATGCCGTTGTATCATGTAGTAGGTAAAAGTGGCTATTAATGACACAATCGGCTTGCCATAGCCTGCCACCTTTGTCCAGCTCGCTTGGAGCAACCATCAAATCAGCTTAATTTCGCTGCGCCGCCCCAGCGAAATGCAGCTAATTTGACCATTGAAGTGCATTTATTAAGTAAAAGTTCAACTGAGACACACCTTTACTATAATGTCGAGCAAACAAATAATTGTTTTTAGGTGGTTATCTTGTTAAATTACGAAGAAATGCACAGCGAGTCCTCATATGCAAAAGCCTATTTCCACATATCGGCTTTTGAAATACAGCTGATATGACCGTCAAAGTCCATTTATTAAGCAAAAGTTAGACTGAGACACATCTTTACCAGCGGTGACGCATAATAGATGTGACGTATACGGCAAAGCGACGCATTTATGGATGTTTCCACTTTATTAGACATATTTGGACTGGTGCGACTTATAGGGCGGTGCGACGTGTACGGCGGAAAATACGGTACACTGATTTTCACTCATTCTGTGCACAGTATGAATCTGAGTGTGTACCTCCTCCCCCGTCTGTCCAGGTGCTCTGCTGGGTTCATACTCTGTGACCACGATGAGAGACTCCATGGGATCTGGGGACGGCGTCTCAGCGTGAGCGTTTAAAGGTGGAGTCGGACAGCTGCACAGCAAATCTGGCAGAGGTTGTGAGGGTTGCACTAAGGGTACATGGCTGCTGCAAGATGTTGGGGGCTCAGCAGAGGGCCAGGGGGTTACATGACAGGGAAACATAGCTCCTCTCCACAAACACTGACAACCACCACTCCATCAGACAGAAACTTCAACTGGAATTATATCTAAAATACAAACACAAAATAAAAAATGTAAAAAAACAGAGAGCAAACACACAATGCCCTTTTAAAACTCTTATTTTGTGATTCACAAATACAAGTGTTAGCTAAACCATAGGGATGCATGATATTATCGGGATGGTATCGGTCGATATTAGCGATAAAGTTAAATATCGGACTTCAGCCATTCCATCAAAATAACTCACAGATATTAAAGGTGCTATTTATATATATATATAGTGTTACATCATTTTCAGACCCCTTTTTAGCATCTGCATTTAGTAGCAAGCCAAATTGACAAAGACCATGCAGAATAATGTAGTATTTAAATTCCACAGCAGAGAACACTATGTAAGTAGGTCTAGGGAAAAAAATATTGGTATTGTATCGGCCAAACAAGTTTTAACATATCAGCATTTTGGATATTGGCCAAAAATCCAATATCGTGCACCCCTACTAAAACACACAATGCTTGAGAAATGTGTTGTTAAAATCGGACTGTGTCCAGTTATAGAAAACCACAGCAAATCAAAGAAATCAATATTCTTTTACCGATTGTTTCAGAGCAGTTACGTGCTCGAGCTGCACACCTACATTTAGCTGTGTGGGAGGCTGCTGCGCCGTCATATATTAAATAAAATTTCTTTATTCGCTTCCAGATGCGTCAGTGTGTACTGCCGATTTCTACACCAAGAACATAAAAGAAAACAGAAAGCATTTTTAAACAAAATACTGTAAATGCACTTTCCATTTTTTTCTGTCTCATCTGATATCGTGAGATCTTAAAAGTTGAATTAAAATCCAGTGGTTCACAAGATATTTTTGCTAACAAGCAGGCGCAGAATTGACTGAAAATACAGAAATATTAATCACCTACTCTGAAACACAAGTTGACGTAGCTCTTCCCAAACAAATCACCCTCGACTTTTCCCCAGCACATTTTGTTAGGTGTTAATTAATTCATGCAAACACGTCTAGTTTTGCAAATTTTAGCTCTGAAAAACAGATAGAGCGTAATAAAAACGTCTGTAAGAGCAAAGTTTCAGTCTGCTGTTGAAGTCAGTTACGCAACACACATAATTATTATCTGCACAGCGTTGAACCAAAGCACCTCCATGCATAATTTCAACAGCACATTTTCCATTGCTTAGTCCACCCATTAGCTTATATTCGTGATAATTGGGAAAAAAAGGGAATAAAACAAAACAATGAGGAAAAGAAAAAATATGCATTTTGCATCAGTTTTAGGAGGATTGTGGAGATGTACATACGCAAAACAAACTTAACAGATACATAAAAAAAAATAAAAATAAGACAGTGGGTGCTGCAGCCAAGTGATGAATAAGCATCATATGTGGGAGGAGATACCCACTTCAAGTGGCCTTCATGCCTTTATATAGTGCTGCAAACTAACCAGGAGAATGGCTTTTTCATGGGAAGCTGCTTCTATCTTTTGTTTCTGATCGCGTCCTCAACTTCATTCTTTTTAAAAGGACTTTTAAAACGAATTTGGAGACGTTACATCACACTAAGAAAATCTGATTTTCTACTCCACCCGGTATTTACCGTTGCTCGTTTTTGGCAGAAATGACATTTTCTGGCCTTCAGTTTTTCTGAACAGCATTCTAAAACACAGAGCGCTCTTGTGAAATGGCGCTTTTAGCGCTGAGCTGAAAATAAAGCTCCCGGAATCCAGTTTTAAAAGCAATCTCTGCCTCTCGAAATTATCACAACATTCCCCGATCAGAACATTAAGCCTCAGCGTGGTTGAGAAAAATGAAGAGTCGTGACACTAAAATTCACAGATGCGGCAGGCTTTTTATATCTAAGGAGCCGAGGCTACTTATCATGCTTGACCTACTTTGATAAAATGAAATAAACACATGAAGTCATATTTCCATTTACACCACAGGCGGTTTGTGGACTTTTGTAACTGATGATGGCATCAAAAACCCACTTTGGAGCCTGGCAGGTTTGACAGGTATCAATCAATTAGACAGCAGTGTGATGCATGCTGTTAAGGCAAACAGTGACTTGTGCTAATATTTCACTGTCAACTACCAATATTTGCAAAGAAAATACAAGATAACACAAAACTACAGCTAGATTAGCACAGATAGGATCAACACAAATCAGCAATGCATCCAAAACTAGTAAAATATGAAAACGCAGATGCTCAATAACTGGCATCAATTCCCAATATAGATAAAATGAACTTCAGATGTCTGTGAACAGAAACATAACATCAGGACAAAATTATAAATAATGGAACTACTGGATAAAAGCCTTTAACTTTCCCAATCCAAGATGATCACAGCAGCATCACAAAGAACAAAACAGATGCTGCATAACTCCAGATGCCTACACCTCTTTTTATCATAATCGCATGACCTAACCTTTACAATATGAGCATGAGGGGAGGTGAGGGGAGGGGTTGTTAGAACTGCTGGGGGTCCAAGCTATGCATGTTGAGACAAACATGGTCATACGGACATGCCAGCATAACACAGAGCCATCTGGAGCAGAGGAAGATCCCCGGCTTCATTAAAAGATCAACAGGGCAACACTGTCACAGTGTCAGCAGTCTGCAAGAGATAAGCTTCTGTAAACAGAATGAAGGATGTGCTAGATTAAGTTAACTGCAGTATTATTGCATGGCTGATTATACTAAAGGATCTAAAAATGATAATACTGACCAGCAACCCCTCATTTATCTACGAATCAACTGAAAACACTGATATCAAAGGTTCAATTAGAGCAGAGCCCTTAACCATAATGGCCCCTCACCTTAAACCAACTATGGCAATATATTGAATTGTTTATTGTACATAACACAGACTAACAAATAATACAAATATTGTGTTTTACCAGCCAGGCACAAATAAATTGCATACTAAATAATTTATTGCAAAAAAAAATATGTATGCGCGTCCTTCCTAAGACACAAAAATTGCAATTTCCTGTCTTTTCAGAATACCCGACCTTTAAAAACTCATACGCATATTCATCTTAATAGTTACATTGGGTGTTTTGATAGTCATAACATTTTTTTATAGTACGTAATATAGTTGTGGCTTTTTACACCACATTTAAGTTAATTTAAACACATCAAATTGAACAGGATGAAACAATTATGTCCTAAATATACATTTTCACAAAGAAATCGACAAAGTTTTCAACAGAAAACAATAACTTTTAAACAAAATAAATGCAGGACTGGTTTCTAGTCTTGAATATTGACCTATAATATATCATTAGAAAATGAAATTGTGACAATAGTGTGTTTGGGTAAGAATTATTGTTATGCAACTTTAGATTGTCAGTGTAACTTGTGTTGTGTTACATAACACCAAAGAATGATAAATACTTAAATTTGAGCCTTTATGTGAATCATTAATGATAAGTAATAACATTTAACTCCATCACACATCATCAAGGCACAGATCTGATCAGCAAATCGTTCACATTAATAAGAAACATTTAATAAACCACTGCCACGGGAATTTACTTTTAGCTTTTTCGGTACAAACAACAGCCAACTTCCTGTTTTAAGCGACTTGTTAACATCGACTTTATTGGTTAAAATGCGACATAAAACGAATGTTATCGTCGCTGCAGCTCCCAGCGAGCTAACTCAGCTCTAAGCTTCAAAGTGGAGCAGCTCAGCTAACGTTAGCAGCTGCAACATCTGTCATGATACAGCTGTTGTTGCGGAAATAGGCGTGATGCTAGTACGACTCTCTCCGTATCGCTTCAGAACCGCTGAAGACGTGTTCTGATACACCTGAAGTCTTACCTTGTTAAGTTACTGTGGTTTACAAATCAGAATTCACAGGTTCCTCCTCCGGCTAGCTGTTAGACGAACGGGGAATGAGTAGCAGACTCTGAGAACCGTTGTTGTGATGATGGTGTTGTGCTGAAAAATGGCACTCCGTCACGGGAAGCTCAGTCGTACTCACAAAAAAAAAAAAAAAAAACGAATAAGGGTCAAACGTGAGGGGAAATGACTTGAGTTCGCCTGTATCTGTTGAAAACTTGTAAAAAAAAATATTCTATTTTGGTAAATAAACCTGGAAACAAGCACGTCGAAACGCGTTTCCCGTGATCAGGATGCGTTTGACGGCGGGGTGCTTTTTTCAGCACAACACCAACCGAGCTAACCGCCCAGGTCGCGCGCTTCACATAAAATAAACGCTAAAAGCATGAATTCACGGGTGAAGTGCGCTTAAAAAAATATTCACGCGTGTTTCACCCTGGCGTGCACCACCCATTGCGCTTCTCTTCGTTTACCAAACGACTTTAAAACACTAAACATGTCCTGGTTCTTGATTTTTGATTCAAACATTTAATGGCCAAGCCCGCCCCCTGTTGGCGAACTTGAGAATCGCGCTCCCTGAAATAAACAGTTGTCAATTATATTAAATACCCACTCCCAATTTATTGAAATTAAACTGAAAAAAAAAAAGCAACATCTTACTTTCTTCAGTCCATCTAGCTTGAATATACCAAATAGGTTATTGGTTACATAACTTAAACCAGTACCAATGCGGTAGTTGTTCAGTGCCGCAGTAATCCTGAAGTTGCAGGTTCGAGCCCTGCTTGCGCCAGAAGGAATTTCCGGTGCAAAACAATTGCCACATATTTCATGCCATTTTGTTTGCTGTTGCAACCCCCTGCCAAAAGGAAGCAGCTAAAATAAACTTACATGAAGTAAACCAGTAAAAAAAAAAAAAACAGCTGTCTTAATACATAGCTTTTTTAGATTTGACATAATTTTCCATATCTATTATTCGACTGTATACATTGTTTCATTAAGAAGTGATTGGCAAATGATACAGATGCTTCAGATCTTGTGTCACTTTTCCTGAAGCAATCAGTTTTATAGATTTTAACACTTTAGTGCTTCACACGCTTTTTAAGATGCATCATTATTCCTAAAATAAAAAATAAAAAAAAGAGTTGTGAAGAGATAGAAGTTTGGAAAGTAAACTAAATGTAGTAAACTGCCTTCAAAGATCTGGGATATATTTGATATTCCACCAAACATATTGTTTTCTGGGGATATGCAATTCATGTGTTAATAATCAAACTGTATTTTACTAAAAGGGTCTCAAAATTGCAATTATTGCATTTGTAGTTGTTTGCACAGCACACAGATGTTTCACAGAAACATCCACGCTGAGGCGCACTCATTATACACATTTACAAAAACAGATGTTTTGCTTTAACAAAGAACTTTGTTGTCCAACTATATTAAACAAAAAGTGTAATGCAGATGTAATCATTATTTTCGAACAAATGAACAAAACATACACTTACCAGTCTTTTTTTAAACTTTATTTGCGGACACTGGATTGAAAGTCAGTGCTGTGAGGTTGTTGTGGCTCCAGTTGTCTCATGACTAAAGCTTTGAAGCTTTTTCTGCACAATTGCAAAAAAAGCCTCAGTGCTTCATGAGGCTTCACATACCCATAACTAAACAGATCAGATGAAAATGGTACATGGTTTCAAAAGTCAACTCTTCAGTTGTCCTATATAAAAACCATAAAGCTAAAGCAACAGTATCATAAACAACTTTTAGACCTGGCCTTCAGGGACATAATGACAAAGTATAATAGTTTTACAAGACTAAAAGTGAGTCAAGGAGAGGATAAGAAACATTAAACTGAAATATGTTTATTTCAATACAAAATACAATCAAAGTGATAAAAACCGCAGAGCACAAGATTGCAAAAGAATACCAAACAATTCTGAATCAAAAGATGACGAAATTAAACAAAGACTGAAGAGGAAAGTTAGAAAGTTATCGCCTCTTTTGGAAAATGTTGCCTCTTCCAATTCCACCACGGCCTCGCCCTCTTGCAGCCACTGTAGAAAGAAAACATTTGACAAAAGTCAAACTCCAATGCAGGTCTCTCATTCCCCAAATCAACCCATCCCAACCCCGACTAAAGCATTAAAAATGAAGTATCCCCAGCATCTTGACCTTATACTCCTGGTTCCTTGTGGGATTAGAGAGGATAAAGTGCTTAAATGTACTTAATATTAGCTGTGTGTTAATGAGTTGTAGAAAATGATAAAACTGTTGCACTGTGTGGGGAGACAGTTGTACAAATGCTTCCACTTACCTTGTGCTTTAAGAATAGCTGCCTTGCCTCTTCCTGCTCCAGAGCCCTGGTTTTTGTTCTTCATACTCTTTAGCATAGGAGCATTCTTTAACATGTCAGGTAGAATCAGAAAGCGGATTTTGCTGCCACGAATGTAGACCTGTTCCAACTGTGCAACTCGGCCATCACGGTAAGTCACTGTGATATTGGACATCTGTGGGAACAAAAAATATATATAAATAAATATAACTTGCATGCCTGAACAAATCAAAGATCGAAAGAGTATCTCTTTAGCTTCAGCTAATACAAAACAAAAACGTATGCTATAAAAAGGGTGAAAGTCTCATCCAATATTGAACATGGGAAGCGAAACGTGTCTACATTTTTCTCCTCAACACAGGTATTGGTGTTTCAGAATCCATGTTTATTACAACCGGCATAAGCGTCTCTAGTGCCAAATTAGTGGAAACAACTTGTGCAAAAGGGAGAAAACTCAACTAAACGCTGTAAGGCTAGTTTTAAAAACATTAAAAAAGACTTGCATTCATTTAATGGGGAATTAATAAAATTTTCCATTATTTGGCCAATGTGATCAATTACTGTACCCAGAAGAGGAGAAATCAACCAAAAACAGAATTTAGTTTATTTGTTTATCTAACTAGTTACAGATTATAGACAGGTATTCTGTAAAACTTTATGTAAAGTTTGGAATTTTTTAATTGAACAATTAAAAGCCATATCTGGATGGGAAGTTGTAAAGAATAGTTGGACTTCGAGAGTTGTACATCAAATTAAAATTAAGTTCCAAATATATCAAACTTTCTGCAAATAATTTAATCCCATATTTGAACAGAATACCCCATATGATGAATCAAAGTACTGCCTTATCATCAAAGGCTTGAAAAAAAAAAAAAATCAATATAGACTAAAAATAAATACCGGTACACACACACACACACACACACACATAAATAAATAATAAAATTTAGGGGGCCACTAAACCTATTCTTGAACAAGTTGCCAGTAACTACACACTAGGGGTGCACCGATTGCAGTTTTCTGGCCGATCACAGATTTCTAAAGTCTGACCTGCTGATTCCGATTTTGGCCGATACCAATTTTGTTTTATAAGCAACACTGTCAGGTGTTATAAGGTCACAATGCACCTTCAATTCTCCAATATTATTTTAGTGAAAAACATACCCTTGAACAATATCCTAGAACAATACAAACTTGTTTTAAATGGCCATGAGGTAGTGCTCTGAAATATAAAGTTCACTGTAATCACCACATTGATTGTTGCTATGTGCTGCTGATTATCCATGCTGCTGATTTATTTCATGCTGCTGTATTCATTCGTACTCGTCTAATCACACAGACTCATGTTCGTGCTGCTATTGTTCGGCGTATTGTTTGCACTATTAAGTGGTTAGCGTATTCTTAGCTCATATCTTAGATCTTTATTATAGTTTTCTTTTACTATTTATATTTTTGCTATTGTTGGATGTAACTGGGACCCTGTGTACACAAACTCGTTCCACCTCATGTACCACATACGAGGCGAATGACAAAGACATCTTGACCTTGTTAAAAGCTGCAAAAAGTGTAAAATTTGTTGCATGAATGAAAATCACCGCTAGGTCCTCCAGAAGATAAAATAAAATGTTAGTGAACAGAAATCTGGCTGAAAACGAGCTTCATGGTCCATGTTTAACCAGGAGAAAATTGAAGGAGCAAAGACGGTCATGTGATAAACTCACTCACAGGACAGTAGGTGAGGCTCCCTAGCTGTGTTTTGATATGCAGACATGGTTTATAGTGCACTTTTCACTTCGTAAACATGTCACAACAGCCACAACAAAGTTGAACAAAAATATTGGAAACTCTTTTTGAGTCGTCCTTTATATTTTACCTCCATGTACTTTTGTAATTTTTTTAAGTGGTCTTGACCAATATTTATTCAAGTTCTCCAGACTTATCCAAGGAGTCGGCTGACTCGTTTGTCTTAACTGCAGTTGCAGCGTATTAACTTTATTTATGGAAACAAGTCGTCTCATCAAACAAACCTGGCAGTTCATGTTATCCTCCGCTTCAATCAGCTTGCCCCTGTACACTTCTCCAGTGTTGGTCTCACAGGTCACAATGTGGCCTTCTGCCTCATGCAAGACCTTGATTGGTACACCGATGGACATCTTTCAAAGGTCTCCCTGGAACACAACACAATATTATAACACTCCTGCTCACAGCATTTCCTGCTACATAAGGCTGACGTATTCTGGAAACCAAATCCCATTACTAGTTAGATGCGTGGCCACAGACTGTCAGCAAGCCCAAGATGGGCTATGTAACACATTGAAAGCATCTAACCAGTTCTGATAATGATATTTATACACTCTGTGGCTGGTCATTGAGTGTCACCTAACTAGATAAATTTGTCTCCCAAATGTAGTGGTTACATAGAAATAGACCTCTTTCAGCAGGCTGCTACACCACTTTGCAGTAACACTGATCAGGTCTCTACTCTGTTGGTTGGGTGGTCATAATATTTTGGCTGATCAACTTGCGATTTCTGTTACCAGAGTTAAAGCGGGTTAAGTTATATTCGTTTTAATATTTTACAGAGTTTACTTCTTAAACAGTGCTACAAGTAAATAAAAGTTCGCAGCTGCGTACTGATTAGACGAAATGTAGCTGTTAGCTACCTTAGCTAGCAAGGCTACAATCCTACATTATTTAGCTCCTAAAACTAAACTCGAAGACAGTTTACAGGCAATTTTAACGTTTAATAGAATAACTTATATTTTAAAATTATTTAACCGGTTCAAATCGTACATTTTAAAGCTTCAGTTCAGTAAACCCAACTCAGATCGAAAAATACGCCTAGCTAACCAAGCTACAAATGAATGAAAAGAACGTCAAAATGCAAAACAAACGTAAACCAGTGCTAAAATAAAAACAAGTAAAAACTATAATTCCGCTATGTAGTTAATATTTCTTACTTTATTTACCTCCAACTGCGCTTAAGAATGGTTTGCTTTGTTGTTTCTTCTGGAGATTTATTCTGCAACGTGCGCCTGACGCTTTAGCAACCGCTTGATCGCTGGCTTTTTTCCGCCTCCGATTAAAGGTCAACAGAAGTACTTCCTGTGCCATTTTGCCGCGGTGTATTGTGGGATACGTGTTTTAATAAACTCCCCAAAGTAAAAAGAGATCAAACTAAATTAACATGAGATCATAGTCAACTAATAAAAAGATAAAATTGTAAAGGAGGTATTTTAACATCCAGGTAAAGTAGCATAACAGTTATAAATTATTTTCCACAAATTCAATTTTTGTTGATAAAAAAAAAATAGAATGTCAGCTTACCTGAAGCTGAGTCTTGAAATGCTGGTATTTGTTCAGATATATGTATATTTTGAAGTGTATCAGTTAGACTTGCCAAAGTAACTGATGGCTTGCATCATGCATCATTTATTTAATTATTTATTTATTTGTTAACTTTTATTTAACCAGGCAAATTCCACTGAGATCACATCTCTTTAGAGACCTGGGCCTGAAGGCAGCCTAACATCATCAAAATAGTTCCTCTTTATAAGAATGGTGAGAAATGTGTGTTCACTAATTACAAACCAATATCCTTGCTGCCACAATTTAAAAAAATATTAGAGTAATTATTTGTAACCAGACTCGATCGCTTTATACATAATATTTTAAGTAATAGTCAATATGGGTTTAGAGCAAATAATTCAACATCAATGGCTCTCATGGAACTAATAGAAGCAATAACAAATGCTGCTGATCAAAAACAGTATTGTGTTAGCGTTTTTTCTTGATTTAAAAAAATACCTTCGACACTATTGACCACACCATTGTCCTGGAAAAACTGAATAAATATGACATTAGAGGATTAGCACTACAGTGGATATCCAGTTATTTGAATAATAGGAGACAGTTTGTACAGGTAAATTATATAAGATCTGAATGTTGTGTTAATGGATGTGTAGTTCTTCAGGGCTCTGTGTTGGGACCAAAGTTGTTTAATTTGTATGTGAATGATCTGGTTGATGTGTCAGGACTTTTGAAGCGTGTTTTATTTGCAAATGATACCACATTTTTTTGTTTGGGTGAAGATATTGAACGGATGTTAGAGATGATACAGGCAGAATTCTTAAAAATACAATTTGGGTTCCAACTTAATAACTTATCATTAAATTTGGAAAAAAAACAAACTACATGATATTTAGTAATAGAAAGAAAATTATTGAAGTCCCTTTTAAAATTGACAATATTGAAATTCATAGAGTTAATCAAATAAAATTTTGGGGTGTCGTTATTGATGAGAAGCTGACATGGAAATCTCATGTAAATTACTTAACAATAAAAATAACTAAATCAATTGCATTACTGTATAAAGTAAAAGAGTTTTGAATGACAAAGCTTTGTATATATTGTATAATATAATGATTGTTCCATATTTAATCTACTGTATTGAAGTTTGGGAAAAAGCATGCAAAACAATTGCAAACCCTATTTTTATTGTACAAAAAAGTGCTGTAAGAATTATTAGTAGGAAGGGCTATGGTCACCCAACAAATATATTTCATCAATTAAAATTATTAAAATGTTATGATTTGGTTGAATATAGTATTTTATAAGTCATGTATAAAGCTCATAAAAAAATTCCCCCAAATATTCAATTAAAATTTGTTTAAAAAAAGAGAGTCATTATAACCTTAAGGGAATGTGAATGTTTGTAAAACCTCCATTTAGAACTAGTCTGAAGGAGCTGCGTTGTAATTCAGGGAATAGAATTATAGAATTGCCTTGATATCACCATAAAAATTTCTAAAACAATTTATATGTTTAAAAAGATGAATAAGTTGAAATTGTTAGGAAAGTACAATGTGAAAAATGCCTGACGTTTTTTTGTTTTCGCTTTGGGGATTGTTCAAGCCGGAGTTGTTTATAGTTATTTTATATATTTTTTTATTAATAAGGGACAGATATTATAAGAATTTTTTTCTTTTTTTCTGCACCCTTTTCATTGAATTTTTTGTTTGTTTGTTTTGATGAATTTGTTTTGTTTCTTTTTTCTTTAAATGAATGAATAAATTTTAAAAAATGATAGCTTGCATCAATGACAATGAAAAGTTATTCATGCACGCTGGGTTTTCTATTAATATTCTCCAATATGAAAATGGACATCAAAATTGCTAAACAAACATCAGTGAAATATTTGCAAGTACTGTATACTGTATTTGCATGTTTTGTTTCTAAAATGATACACAGCAGTTATGCATCTCATTCTCATCATGGCTTCAAGTTGACATTTACAACTTTATGGCCTTCTAGACAAAGCCTCAGTGGTTAAAAAAAAAAATACAATTCTTGGAAAAATGACTCATAGATGACTGAGATGAGTCACCCACAACCACATAAATTTCATGATCTTTATCTTGTGCTTATCAAAACAACCTTACACACAAAACAAAGCATTAAAATGAAATGTTTATTCTGTTTTAAAAGCTCAGCACTTGACCACAAAGTTTACCAAACAACTGATACGCATGGGATAAGACTAAATATAAAGTACATATTATATACATACTCATGTATGTTTATTCTGGGAGACATGTCTGTGGGATTGCTATAAGACACATAAAAGTAGCCTAATGCAGGTCCTTCCCACAGAAGAAGGGCCTTTTAATGGGGAAAGAGAACGCATAATGGGATAATAAAAGACATCATCAAATGAACCTTCATTTGATTTTCATTGCATTTGGCTCATTGACTAGCGTCAGTGGCCAGGCTACTCTGTAAACAACTCTTGGTGAGTAGTTTGTGGCCATGCACTTTACATGTGTGTGCATCCATGCATGTGCATGTGCTTTTTTGTGTACAAGTCTATCTCTAAAAGCATTACATACATATTGTATTTGCAAAGTTCAAACAAGCCCTTTGCTTTGGCCAACGAGTAGCCAGTTCATGTACATCAGTGCCTTTAACTCTTGTCACGCAGATGTTGAAACGACAAAGAGCAGGTGTTGCATGGCAGCTGTCTAATCACCAATCAAACCAGTAACATTGTGGGCTCTGCAGATATCCAACCATTTCAAAAATTACATCGCTTTACTTAAACAAAACATTGTCAGAATATATTACTCTCTACATCAGGTTCTAACATAATGCACCAATTACATCTTAAATATAACAACTTCTGTCTGTCATATACAGCATGTAAACACTTCATCTATGACACCATGTCTGTTTTACAGCAAAATACTTCATTGCCATTTAGAGGTTTTCAGCAGAAAGTAACCACAGCTCCATAAAGAAACTATGTAAGACCTGATGCAGGACTAAGTCAAATTTAAGTACAGTTTAAAAAACAAAAAAGTAAAAAAAAAAAAAAAAAGCAAGACGATATCCCAACACAATTTTCACATTTTGTTACACGTCACATTCCTTTTAACTTTGATTTTAACGTAGTTGTTTTTTCCCCCAACAATCTTCAGACAATTTTTAAACAAAATTAAACTCTTTTAGTGTTATGACCTAATAAAAACATGAAATGTTAACAAAACTTAAAGGGATTTGCAAACTTTCTAGTTATTTTACATTAAAGTGCACATTTTGTTTTGTACTATAAATAAAAAAAATGCTTGTATAAAAAAATTGGCATGCACCATCATAGATGGCATCCTTAACATCTACACGCTTTGAGCATTTTGTTTCTTGAGTTTATGCGTATGAGAGCAACATCACAAGAAAAATGTACACGACTTCACACAGAGACTAAAAGTCAAGCATTTTTTTGAAGCAATGCATATTGACCACACCATTTTGTGCCAGAGTTTTACAAAAAGATCATCTTATGCTGAGAAGAAGCGTACAAAGCTGCTGTGGTCAAGCCCTGTCAATGGCATTATGCACAATCTAATGTGGTATTGTAAAAATTGCAAGACGTGATAGCGCTCAGAGATGTAAGGATGACTCAGCTACCATACCAAACTGTAGCTCCATATTTAAAAAACAGACTAATATATAGTTTAAGCCAATTTTTAGTTGGATACGTTTGATTAGCAGAGGCAAAATTTTTAAAACAAATCTTGTGATCATGTATATGATATATATATGTTATAAGACCACATACTGGGGATGACTTTGGGCTATTATCACATCAAATTTTAGCTGAATATCTGTATAACTCACTGAGTCATAGGCATTGTTGTGTTTTATGTAGTTGCTCAGCTTTAGCGGCCATCTTGAAAGGGTCTAACTCCAAGTAAACCTGTGTCTTGGCTATAAATCCATTAATTACTTTCTGAGATTTTTATTAAGTTCTGTTCACTATATTTACTAATGCTAAAGAAAACTGGACACTCACACAAACATGGACTAAAACATGGACTAACCCTTTCACCTTCGGCAGTAGGCGATGAACTAAAAACAATCTCACTGATGGCGTTGATTGAGACTCCATACATGTCACGTTTGCACAGCGCCGGGTGTCATGACGTTAAAACCTGTTTTTGTGCACACAGTCATCTTTGTCACGAGACCTCTGTAATCTTTGCAGAACAGGTGCAGTCCATCTGATTTGGGGGGAGAGCTTGAATGTTTGCAAAAGCAGCGCAGCTTCCTCTGTCTTTGAGTTCTAAAACATCTGCTGCTTCCTGTAAACACATGACTGATTTTGATGCATCCTGTGCAGAAAATGTCAAGCTCCCACTCGTTACGTGGTGTCCGTTGGGTATGCAGCTGCTTGATGACACGTCTAAACTTGATATCCAACAGCTAGAAGGTTCATGTGAAGCACTGTGTCTTGTTTGATCAGGATAAGGGTCCAGGATGAAGCTGTTCACAGTCGTGCCACACGTTGAACCCTCTTTGCTGGTTTGGGAGATGCGTCTGATGCCATTGCTCCCAACACCCCTGCTATCAGCGTTCCCAGCCCCAAGTGCTTCTCTCCGTCTCAGGATGTGTTGGTAAAAGATCTTTCGAAACGTCTGCCTGAACTCCCGAATGCGGTAGGCATAGATGAAGGGATTCACAACGGAGTTAGCATGGGAGAGGATGATGGCGATGTTTATCACCCAGATGTGTGGGCGCTCACAGCCCTGACACAGGTGGTTGAAACAGTTGATGATGTGCAGAGGAAGCCAACAGAGAACGAACAAACCTACAATTATGGCCAGAGATTTAGCAGCGTGCACTTCCTTCTGCAGGACTGAACGGGACGAGCTGGAAGACGGCGCTTTCTGTCCGGGGGCAGGTGTGTGAGCGACTTTGACGCTCATCAGTCGGAGCTGCCGCCTCGCCGCCATGAAGATGTTGACGTAGATGATCAGCATGAGCAGCAGAGGAACCAGAATGCAGCCAAAGAAATTGAAATAGACCATATAGTCCAGGGTGACTACTTCCTCAAACAAACATTGGGTCATGCCTTCAGGACAGCTGGTGGTTCCTACAGCGGTGATGGTGGAGTTCCACCCTGTGCAACAAAGACAAAATGCATTTACTGTCAGTTTTTTATTCCTCATTAAATCAACCAAATTTATTTTACTATAAATGTGCATGAGGTAACTCACTCGGGGGTAAAAGCAGAGTTTAGTCTCATAAAACTCAATATTCCTCAGAAATTGTGACAAAAATAAAAATGTGGAAAATCTGATTTAATCCAGAAAGGAATTCAAATTAAATTCACAGTGATGTAGTTCTTACTTTCATGTGCCAACAAAAATAAGAAATGATACTCAGATTATACATCCAGTAAACAGGTGTCTAAATCAGGGCTCTATTTAACTCTTATATAGTTGTTTGTTTACTCACTTTTCAAAAGTGTGGACAGTCTGATTGTGAACCAAATACAATTCTAAACTATTTTCAAATATGGAAGCTGTCCTTACTGGAAAACACGTCAAACTGGCATCAGGAAAAATCCCGTTTTGTCAAATCTCAAGGATGGTTTTGTCATTTTTTCTCCTAGACTGCCCAGATGAGCATTTACACATGTGAGCCATAAATGTAACTCTCCATCCAATATTTGTATGCAAAGCTTCTGTGGAAATTAAATGAACTGAAAAACAACATTATGGGCCAACGTGGAACTCATAAACAATCTCAGATTGGGCTTTTTCTTCAGGAGATTTATTGCACGCACAGAAAACATACACAAACTGGACAATGAACAAGAAACACTTAACTAAACAGTCACATTTTTCTTGCAAGAAAAAAGGCCATGTCGGAATAGTTTTACTTTTAAATTTAGGGATGTTGCATTATTAAAACAGCATGATCGTTGCTTTAAAAAAAAACATGTCTCACCTGTGTTCCAGCCAAACATGGGTGTGAGTCCGATGCCAACTGAGAGGGTCCAGCACAGTGCTATGATGCACTTTGCCCTCTGACCTGTCACCACACTGTTGTACCTGAACGGTTTAACAGAACCCCAGTACATAATGCAGCACTCTTTGTTTAATTTTTGTGACAATACCTCTTAGAAATAAAGTCCAAATCTGCCAAATTACTGAGAATACAAAGGTTGTGCAGTAAATAACTAGTTTATGTAGTCATCTAAAATAATGTTAAGTTTGGCTTTGTAAAATAGACTTAGCGCAATCATGTCATTATACTACATGAATGCATACTACATAAACATGTCCAGTGGTTCATGAGATATTTTCCTAGTAGACAAACCGTATGACAGAAATAAATAAAGCCCCAGCATTCCTTAAATTGATGCACATCGTCTGCCTTTTATACCAATAAATGAGATTTGTAGACATTTTGGTCAAACCTTAAAAATAACGTTATGTTTGATCTCACATGATTTCATATAAGTTCTAAGCAAAGATCTCACACTTGGATTTTGTGTTGTGAATGCTGCTAAAACCATGTCTGTGTCTATGTGTGCATGAGCGTGTGTTTGTTTATTTTTTGGTATATGGGATCAATATGATTCAAGATGGCTGCCACAGTTAACAGCCACACACATGCTACATTCAGCATGATGTCTCAGTGGTTAGCACTGTTGCCTCACAACAAGAAGGTCCTGGGTTCAATCCCTGGTTGGACCTGGAGTCTTTCGGTGTGTAGTTTGCATGTTCTTCTCGTGCTTGCATGGGTTTTCTCCGGGTACTCCAGTTTCCTCCCACAGACCAAAAACATGCTTAGTCTGCCTTCAGGCCCAGACCTCCCTTGCAAAAGAGATCTGTGATCTCAATGGGAATTGCCTGGTTCAATAAATGTTGATAAATTCACAAGAGCTTAACTTAAAACCTTTGCATTAACTGTTGAAATTAACTCTGTCTGTCTGTTAGCAAAACCTCCTCTGAACTAGCAGGTGGATTTTATAGGAACTCATAAAAATAATTCATTGGATGACAAGTAATTAACTTCTGGAGATAATCGAATTTAAGATGGCCACCAGAGTTAATCAAATTTAGCAAACACAAAAATGGCTATAGCTCAGCCAATTTTACAGATATTAAGTTAAAATTTGACGTGGTGGTAATTGATCATCATTCAAATACCCTTTGCCAAAAAGATCACACATTTTTTCCTTCTTCATTAAGTCCTGGAAAGAATTGCACACAATCTAATTTTTTTTTTTTAATCAGTTGCCATTTATCCCCTTCACCCCCACTCACCTGAGAGGGTTTTTGATCGCGATGTAACGGTCCATGGCGATGGCCAGCAGGCTGAAGATGGAGCTCTGAGTGAGCACGAGGACGAAGCAGGCGATGAACAAGCAGCCGTAGAAATGAGCACAGAAGCCCATACTGATATAAATACAAAAACAGCAAATATCTCCTATCAAACATTAGAAATCTTCCGTAAAACATGCCTGATAATGTAATATTTCAGTGGCACGACATTAACCCCAGCCCCAAATTCAATAAGAAGGAAATGATACCTAATTGTGATTGCAAAAGGGATGGCCAGCAGCCCCACAGCAATATCAGCCACTGCCAGTGAGACCACAAAGAAGTTGGTGATGCTTTGCAGGTTGGAGTTGAGGCAGACGGCCCAGCACACCAGGATGTTTCCAGCTACAGCCAGGAGAGCGATCAGCAGCTCCAGGCCAATGTAAACCACCTGGTAGCTCTTCAGCATGGTTGTTTTTTCCTCCTTTTCTGCTTTCTTTGCTCATTCATCCCACACGCTCAGCTGCTCCACTTGTTTTTAGACAAAACATCAGCTTGCTAAACTGCATAGTACAACCTGAGCCCCCCCCAAAAAAGCAATGTGTCACTAAGGGAGAGCCAGAACAGGAAGTTCTCACAATTGTCACACGTGCAGATGCCTAATTTAACTTACTTGTGAATTGTACTGTCACAACTGCTATATTGATTTGTCGTTCTTCCTCTTTTTGAGTTTTGCGACGGTTTTGTTCGGTTCAGTGAACTTTGTCGCGGAGGGAAGTGGTACGCTGAGGATGGAGCATCTGGGAGGTTTGGCCTAATGCTCATGAAGTAAGAGCAGCGGTCTGTGGAGGGAAAAAGGAGGGGAAACTTGGTGTCAGTGGTTTTAGCTTGTACAAACAGATTGCAGTGGATGTACAGTACTCGTGCACACACACAAACACATGAGAAACACTATCTATCATTCTAAGACAAGGGGACAGGGCTGAAGCAGACAGACCAACAAAGGGCTTTTTATTTCGGGAGAAGTTTCCCAAAAACTCTTTCTACTAATCATTCCAGTTACTGACACACTTTCCTTTAAACACACTGATAATTGCACAAATAGCATGTGTTTTCTCAAGATAAATTCCTGTATGCAGCAGAGTAGAGCTTGTTTCACAAACCTGGTAAACTCTTAGCAATAAGAGGTCTAAATAAAAAAAAAAAAAAAAATTATTTCACTGAATTCTTTATCGTATGTATGAATTATTTCTATTGCTCTTTTAGAAATTCCTCTTTTAAACTCATAAAAATGAATAGATTTTTTTCAAAGATCTGATGAATAAATTAAATAATATTTACCATAATGATAAATACAGAGCCAGAGTGCAGAAATGGTTTGATTTCTTTTATTGTAAAAAGTGACTAAGAAAGAGAATTATTGTCAAATATTATTTAAAACTTAAATGAGTCCCAAACAATCAATCAACATTTATTTATAGAGCCCTTTCCAAGAGCCAAAAGATGTGTAAAGTGCTGCACATTACAAAAGTTAAAAACAAAAAAATCAAAACAAACAAACAAAAAAGCCAGAAAGTCACTAAAAGCCTGCTTCAATAAAAAGGTTTTAAGATTAAATTTAAAAAGACCCAGATCAGTGGTGGCGCACAAGTCCTGAGGTAGATGGTTCCAGAGTCTGAGAGTGGTGACTGAAAAGGCAAAAGATTAATTTAAAAACATAAATTTTTGGTGAAGCCACTGTTTAGTATTGTAACGCAACCAGTAAATAAAGTGTGAAGGTTACTACATTTAGGCTTCATAGGCAAATATGTGTAGGTCGTCAGCATAGCAGTGAAAAGAAAAGTGGTGTCTGGCTATAACTCATCCAAGTGGCAGCATGTAAAGAGAAAAAAGGAGAGGGCCAAGAATAGAACCCTGCGGCACACCAGAAAGAAAGGCAGCAGAGGAAGACAGAGTATCCATCATGACAGAGAAAGTTTTGTTGGTCAACTTGCTGTCTCAAGTGGTCAAGGTAACTAAATTTTAGTTCCTAAAATAAGGCAAGAGTTTAAAAAAGTTAAGACAGTATTAAAAACCTCTTTCAAAAACTTATAAAGAAGAAAGTCCAGAGGGCAGTTAGTGAGCTTCATGTGTTGAACATCAGTAAGAGTAGCGAGAGAAACTGGTTCAAACTGTTCGAACACAAATGAAGCTTCAGCAGCAACAGCGAAGTCAGGAGCAGCTTCGAAACAGTTACCTGTCTGACTGAAGCCACTTTATTTTTGAAGAAATTGAGGAAGTTCTCACAGTTAGCGGTTGTCTGGTAGAACACAAGTGACAGTTAACAACAGAGCTAATTCTGTTAAATGACACTCTCAGACACTGACTGCTGTTTGAAATTAAGCCAGATAAAAACTGGCATTTTGCCTCTTTAACAGATCTCTGGTAGTTAGCAAGACAGTCTCTTAAAAGTTTTAGAGATGGAAGTAGTTTGTCTTTCTTCCATTGTCATGCTGCTGTCCTGCATTTTTGCTTGAAAGTGTGTGTGGCATAATTTAACCACAGCTCATTAAGTAAGGAAATAATTTGGACAAAGTTTGTTGGAAACAAAACAGTGAATCTATAAAAGCAGCAGAAAACAGTCCGGTTGTCTCAGCGGTGAAGACATGGTGCCGATGACTCACAACGTCAGGCCTACTGGCTGGTAGGGGGGTTGAGAACTCCAAAACGATGGGGAAGTGATCTGAGATAGCAGTCTCTGTAATAGCAAGGGTTCAAGACAAGACAAGGATACAAGACAATGGAAAGAGGATACTATGAATGGCTTTACTATTAGCGACCATGGAAGGTATAATAATTCGGCAAAGACAGAGAGTGAGCATGGATCCTAAATAGAGAGCTGAACAGGTGCATGGACTGAGGGGGCGTGGTGAACGGTTGACTGACAGGAGCTGATGTGAGCAATGATAGATGGGCGATAAGCAAAACACAGCAGGGAAACAAACAATGCCATGAGGGGCAGAAACTACGGCAGGTGACATGGGCAGGAGAACACACCAAGAAGGCAGGATTATGGCAGGATGGGCAGAAACATTTCATGAGGAGCAGAGGTGTGAGCAGATGTCAGCGGGGACCACTAACCTATTTTTTTGATGCCTTGCCTGACCCTTTTGGATTTAATCTGCTCATCTGACCACGGTATCTAACTCTGCGCCTTCCGCTTTGACTATGCTTTTGGATCTCGACTCAGCTCTGGTTTTTGTTCTCTGCTTCCCTGTGCTTGACCCCCACTACGACCATCGGACAACATATATGGATTTCCCCTGCCTGGATCACGTCTTCAGTCTGCCCCACTGTAGCAGCTCACTCTGAACGAGTGACGTCACCAGCTGCAGATCAACAACAGCATCTGCCACGTTACAAGATTGAGAAGGTTAGTGACTTCAACAATAACCCATGGAACCTCCTCGTCCTGGTTAAAGTCACTAACCTCTCTGTCTTTAAGAATGGACTTCTGTCCGGACCCTGACTCCTCCATCCAGCAACCAGCAGCCCAATAAATAAAAACTGTTCTTGTTTTTGCACTCCTGTGTCTGGCTTTTTAAGAATCCAAAGACCTGGTCCTGACAGTCTCAGATGTTTCATTAAATGAGATAAATAGCCCATGTGAAATAATAAGGTCCAAAGGTATGCCCAAGAACATATGTAGGCCCATGTACAGACTGTTAAATGAAAAATATTTAAAATATTGTTCAAATCTGAGACTAACGGATCAGAAGGGCAGCAAACATTAACATTAAAATCCCCACAAATCACAAGATCATCGAGAACGAACAAGAATCACTAAAATAACGAGTTCATGAGGTTTGATTAAAGGCATTCACTGGAAAGTTGTGATGATTTTGTAGTAAAGATGCAAAGAAAGAAATATAAAGAAATACACATAATCTGCACAAAATGTTCTCATATTGTTGATTAATGTGTCCTTAAATTCAAAAACGGTAAGTAAAAATTGTGCCCAGGTGCCATCTACGTGCGTTTGTTTACCTATAAAAACAGCCATAGTCACCGAAAATGGGTCAACAATGGAAGAGCCGTTTGGGGCGAAGAAATCACTACGATGTATTTTATGCTAAAATTTGTTGAATAAATTATGCAGAGAATTAAAAAATAATCATTTATTTATCATTTGATTTCATAACTTTCCATGAAGTATTGAATTGTTGTTTTAAAGGATCTTGAAGGTATTTTAACTTTTGTTATAGAATATAAATTAAGTACGGCTCAAGATCAAATCTAGATTATAAAAATGGGCACTCTAAGTACTTGTTTGATTATATGACTGCATAATCGTTTAAATAAACAAAGAATGCTGCTATATTTTGAACAGTTTTGTGTTTTTTGAGCAAAAGTGTGTATTTGTATTTTTAGTGGAAAGAAGAACTGGTACATGGGTCATTGGTTGGATGTTGTAAAACAGACTATGGAGTATTTACCGAGTTTGATTATTAAAGAGTTACCATGCAAATGGAAAAAAATATACAACAAAGCTCCTTATAAGTAAATAAAATGGTCAAAAATAGCTTGCCAGCTCAGACAGTAATTAAAAATCCTCTTCAATCAATGACTGACATAAGAAACGTGTTCATCCTGGACCTACCGGTAGTTATCTTGATGCAATGGGAAAACTGACACCATGACATTCAAGGGTGGACAATAAATGTGCAGAAGTGTGAAGATGCATTGTATCTGGTCATGCTTCAGAGATTTTCCTAATCAAGACATGGAACTTCCAGAAATGTCTGAGTCAATCACACGACTTTTAGTAAGATCCCCAAAACAATATGGCTGCAGTGAACAGCAGCAGTAACTGTGATATGATACGTGGAAGTTAAAGGATTAAAGCATTGATTGGTTGTAAGAAAATATACTGTTTGCATTTTTTTTTTTTTTTTGTTCTTATCTCAACTTTTGAACTGAAATAAATAAATACTGGTTGAACGTCCTGCCGGACATAGGCACCGGTGACCCCCGTGACCCAAAATGGAAGAAGCAGGTAAAAGATAATGGATGGATGAATGGATGGATGGTTGAACTTCCCTAATGGGATTAATAAAGCAATTGCTGAAACATATTTCATTACATATTGATGTATTATTTTTTTTAACTTTAATCTAAAAGACAGAGCCTGAATAACAAAGAAAGCAAAGTGTTACTAAATATTAGGGATGCACAGTGTTGGACTTTTGGCCAATATCCGATACAAATACCAATACCGATATTTTTTCCCTAGACCTACTTACAGAGACTACATAGCTTTCTCTGTTGTGGAATCAAAATTTTACATTATTCTGAATGGTCTTTGTCAATTTGTTCTGCTACCAAATGCAGATGCCAAAGAGGGGGCTGAAAATGATGTAACACTTCAACTTGTATTATGTTTAATGTCAAATTTATTCATGACATTTATTCTCTTTAACACAATGACAA